CCGGAGTCGCCCTGAAAAGGAGAAAATAGCATAAATTTAACCTTATAAAAATATTCGTGTAATTGTCTAAAACCTACAAAGCAGTTCCCGGCGGTCTTGATCTTCCCGTCAAAGCAGAACTTGTGCAAAACGTCGGCCTTAAGCGTGCATTGCTCGAGCGGCACGACTTTTGCCGTGTAGCCGATCAGCCGGTTGGGAAGGACGCCATGACTCGGTGTGGCTGAAGTTTATGCAAATAAGTCTTGGAGTTTTGGAATACTTTGTTTTGTGCAGAAATTTGTGTTGATTTTGAATCTGGTCTCAGAAACCGCTAACTGTTCATTTTGAAGAAGTTACAAAGCGTTTTGGCTCGAACAGCCCTAAATCGCTTGAATGCCTTTCAAATTGTCGGAATAATATCCAAGCAAAACCAATTAGCAAATCATATGCAAAAAAATTTGCGTCTCTAAATGAGCCTAAAATCTAAATCGAAAAATTTTTTTTGAGCAATGGAAAATAAAAGTAGTCAAAAAATATCTAGAAAAACAGGAAAATCATATTTAATACGCATGATTAAAAGGTTACCGTCCGCGTTCATGGCTCCCCACCCAACGCTGATTACATCCAGTTCACCGGGATTGACAATGGTATAGTTTCGTGCCAGCATCAACTTTTTTACAGTCTCCCCATAAGTAAGGGGCTGGCGAAGCTAAAAAGAGAAAAATCTCTCAGGAGGTGAAGTCCCACCTTGACAAGCGCAATGTCATTATCGCTTCCGCCATCAGCGATACGTGCGTATTCTGGATGGATGCGTCCAGATTCGATTTGCATGGCTTGCTTAAAAATTAAAAGCTTAGAGCAGTGAAGCTTAAAGATCGTTTCCCTCCCCTGGAAAAAACACCGACCCCGGCATCATCGATCTTCTTGATGATGAATGTCGAACCGACAACGGCGATAGAGTTATCCAAGCCCCTCCTGAAATGAGCTTGATTTGTCGAAGCAAGGAAGTGCAACGTCAAAGCTACTCGAAGTCGGGGCCTGTCCGAGAATTACCAACATCTGCGTTGAACCTGGCTTCGCGATGCAATGGGCAGCGGTCAAGAGCCATTGTTCGTCGATGATGGATGCGCCACAGAAATGGCTCCTTGGAGAATGGCTTAAAGATTTTTTGGCTTGCCATTTAGTGTCTTAATCGGTAAAATAGTTTATTGTAAAACCCTACGATTCCAGGGATGCCATAAAAGGGAAGTCGCTGATGCGCCTTCCGTACCGCCAACGATGCGGATCTGAAATTTGGTTCCGTTTCAAAGCTAGCAACCAACGACAGAAGGCGGTCGTCCTAACTCACGGTCCGGTTGGCCCAGTACGCAAACAGCCTAAAAAAATCGCCCCTCAAAAGTGTCTTACGATACCTGACAGCCAAGGAGCAGCCAGGCCAGGGAATGCATTTCGATCCCCAAATAATTTTTTTGGTGTTGTACGCTATTTTATGGGTGCTCGAATGGCAGGGTATGTGACATTCCAATAGTTTTGGATAGACTTATTATTTGTCAACTGCGATTTGGATGGGCGCGAATAGGGACATTCAAAAAAACTATGAGTCAGATCAATTCTTTTATTTATCTGGTTTTTGGGCTTTCAATTGGGTTGGAGCGTAGAGAGTTTTGTATTCGCTGGCTTTAAGAGAATCATTGGAGCAAAAGGAGAAATAGCTAGACGTGTCGGCTGGAGGTTATCTAACTTAAATAATGTTGTGTCTTGGTAATCACGATTTAAACAACGCTGCCTCGTTGGTCAACACAATCTTTATTCGGCATAGATTTCTCTTCAAATACAAATCTTCTTTCCGGTAGTGTGCGCAATCCAGTCACAAAATTCGCTGACGTTAATGCCATACACTGAAAGAAAGTTTTTCGCTAAATCAGGCTGGCCAGTTGGCGCATGGAGGGGCACGGTGAAAGGAATACCGTCTCTACGCCCTATATTGGGCATCATTTGGTCGATGCATGGTTTCTACAAAACAACAACAACTAACACAAAACCTACTGATTGTGTCCGGTTTTCCACATCCTGGGGACCCGCCATACAGCGCACTTACTTGCACGTATTTGCGGCGTTTGCTGTCATAGTAGGCGACCGGGCTGCCAGAATCACCCTAAAATATGACTATACTATACCCGTTTAATAAGGCATGTACCCCGAGCGAACGATATGAGATGGAACCCACATAACACGTGGTGGCATCGTTTCGGACATCGATGAAGCAGAGACCCCTTGGATACACGCATTCCTCTTTTGGAATTGATCGCATCACAAAACCCATCAACGGTTTATGCGGTCCCGAATCTAAGCCGGTTCTCGCTAGGTTAGTCATCTTTTTTGTTCCATTGAGTACCAAAATACGCCCAACAGGGGTGTTGTGTTAATAGGGGCTGGCTTACCTTGTCGAGTTTCTCCCCATCCCTGCACATAAAATTTTGTTTCATTCTTGACTGCTAGTTGCCTCTTGAGGACCAGGGAGTTCGCTCTCTTGTCATATTTGATGGGGCGGGCGAGCTTGTCAGGAAATGTTATCATGCAATGGATGATTCAAACCTTGATGAGGCAGATGTCATTGTTACGATCTTCGTGCACATAACCATTCGCGATAGGGAGCATTTGCTGAAAATATATTTTGACACCGTCGAGTCGATAAGAAATTTTCGGGAAAAACCTACCGCTCCGGCGTCGGGGATTCCTTTGACATAGTCGGATCCGACCAGCGCGCCTCTTTGTTGCCTAAATGAGAAGTTTGAGCTTTTTACTCTTTGCTGATTATCGGTTTAACGCAGCCCTCTCAGAACAATTTACAAAACGGTACAGCCAACAAGGCAAGCGTCTTAGCCGAAAACTACGACGAAGACAAAATCGGTTCACGGAAATAAATTCAGTCGGCTTTTTGGTTACTACAACTCTCCAAGTCAATAATTGCAGCACATAGAAAGGACTACCCACCAGTCAGCCTGTCTGAGATTTTGGAAACAATGGGCAGCGGTCAGGAGCCATTCATGGTCGATGATCGAAGCACCGCACCAGTGGGCGGTGACGACTTGGGACGTCGAGTTGCTGAAAAGGAGGAGGGAGTGTGTTAGCGGAAGGTCTACTGCCAGGTTCGTTTATAGAACCATGCAGGGTCCCTGAAAAGCTCCCGCAATGTATTCAGGTTTTAATCAATTCAGTTTTTTATTTAAAGGCGCGATTAAAGTATAACGGATTTAAAAACAACACAAAACGGCCTTTGCATCTACAGGGTGTCCCAAAATTATCCGGACAACCTTCAACGGTTTTCCATTTTTCCCTTTTGCAGACCACAATTTAATTTCTATGAATCGTTGAAGTGGATTTAATAAGCTTAAAAAGAAAACTGCGCGTAAATCCGTCATATCTCTTCTGAATAAATTGGAGAAGTTCGAACCAAATTTCTCTCTCCTTGCAAACGCTGAAAATGCGCATGCTTTCCGATCCCATAAAAAACTTCAGCATGACCGGACGAACGAAGAAACCACAGGAAGAGTTTGGAAATGACTAGTCAACACTTTGGCCGGCCCAAAAACGCTAGGTTTACATCAGAAAAAAACACAGCCACCAAAAAAGTTGAAATCGAGGTACGCGCCGCCCCGGTTGCCTTGAAGGTTTTGCCCTAGAGGAACCCTAAAAACGCAATATGATTATTGCCAAAGATTAGAGGCATAAACTTTTGGCGGTAACGATGATGCACAAGCAATTTAAATTAGCTAACATTGGTTTTTGAGGATCTTGACGCACGGCAACATCGAAGCGCCTTGCCCGTAATGGGATGGAAATCGGTATTAAACCGAAAAATGACCATTAACATGTCGGAATCTTGGCGGGGTTAGGTCCGTTTTGCCAGAAAACGTCAATTCTTGCCCACAAAAACGTCTGAACACGTTTTGAAAGTTTACCGCAATTTTTATGTTATTTAAGAGGCGAAAAATTTTAATATGCTTTTCGCTCGATTGTGAAGCTATTTTGCGTTCTCCAAGAATTTTTTTTGCACGGTGCATCGAAAATACCTCAAAAAATATTATGAAATACAATGCGGAGGCCGAAAACCGCGGAAAAATTGAAAAAGTCGTTTTCGTTTTGTCGGTATTTTGGACACCCTTATTAACGGCTTCCGCATTTCTTGGAGAAATTGAAGGTGTGCAAGTGCAATATCTTGCGATAGCGTGGTTGCTGTTCCAGAATAGTTATAAAACCTACAACGCTCCTACCGAAGCCATATACGGAAAGTTGGTGATCGACTTCCTGTCTCCACGAACGATTTTACTCTGCAAACGTTGAATCAGCCGACTAGTCCTTTGTGAAGTTTGGCGACCAAAAACCAGAGCAGACTACTATAACACATACCACATGATGCGGCCAATCACTACGATCCAGAATTTCATCGGCCCCGCACACGCTAATCTGGGTTGAACCTCACTTAAGAAAATCATATATGTAGCTTTACCAGAAAACCAAAAAGGCAGCCACATCGACGAGGAGATCCTGAGAGGGTGATACTTCTAAAGCTAGCACGCTGCTATTTATAGGAACTGATCTGCTTTTCTTTTGAGCATCAAATTGTATAGCTTTCAATGGTTTTCAATAGGAATCAGATCAGCTGATTAATCTGCAGAATCGGGCTTTTCCGGTATGCCCAAGAAAGCTGACTAGTCTCCCGGAACGGCGCGGCCAAGTTTGAATAGACGCTTTTGAAAGTAGGCCTTCGGGCGGCATAATCGGAAAGTCTCGTCGGCTCCATTTCTAGCCTGCGAATTTGTGGCTTGCTCTGAGAGCACAAAATCTTTAGAAAAGGTAGCACGACTTTCAAGGGCAATTTTGTAATTGCAACGTAGCCATGACGTACAGCGTCTCAGTAATACAAGTTTCCAGTTTTTCGCAGCTTGTTTGCATTTTGAAATTAACGAAAATTGGCGGCAAACAATCAACCTTTATTCTGGGTTTCAACACTGGCCCTAGATGCAAATCTTCTTTCCCACCGTCTTGTCGATCCAGTCGCAGTAGTTGGCCAGCTCGGGGCCGCTGGCTGAAAAGCGATATAATAATCTTAATTCGAAATAAATCGTCCGAGGTGTAGAAATGGAATTTAAACTCACTGAATTGTCCCACACTTCCACATTTGCCCGGGCCGACGCCATGCACTAGGCTATGCTGGACGTAGGCATCCAGCTGCGGGACATGAACGGCCATTGGACCTCCGGAATCGCCCTGAAAATCTCGGATTTATACCTCCACGGAATTGATTATTGGTATTTGTAACAACTTGCTTCTGAATTCTGGTAAGTAACGTTTTTGATCATCTTAAGCTCAACTTTAACGGTCAAAACCTGACCGGGCAGACGGCAGACAGCTCGTGGCGGAAGCAGATCCACGCGTTGCACTTGTATAAAAAATTGGCAACGTAGCCATGGAGCTGATGATCGCCCTTTGCATCTAAAGGCATTGAAAGTATTTGTTGTGCATTACCAAAAATATAAGGGATTAAAGAACTAATTAATCCATATGTAGTTTCCTACTCAATGGGGCACCGTAGCCCCATCCCATGATATGGATGTCGGTGCCATTCTTGACCTTCAGGTTTCGTTTCAATAGGATTTTCTGGACCCGCTTCCCGAGTTTGATCGGATGTCGGAGCTTAAAATATTATATTTTTAGGCGTACAGGGGCGTCGAAACCTTAATGAGACCAATGTCGGGCGTCACGAGCCCGTGCAGGCTTTCGAGCTCAATGAGTTGCTGAAATTGGGTAGGTATGATAGATATGTAAGTAAGTAGCTACGTAATTTAATAAGTAAGGCAAGTAAGAGGTAATTAAGTACCTGTATAATTTTCAAAAAATTAAAAGGAAGAGAAAAATTACCGCATCTTGCTCCAAACGTGGATAAGTGCTCGAGCCAACAAGGGCGCGGCTGCCGCTGATGTAGTGCTCGTGTTCTCTAGAATTTTTGTGATAGAATGAATTTAACGAGGCGGATCTGCTGAGACATAAAATTAACAAAATTAAGCTCTAATCCACTCACGACTCATTGCCGGGCAGGCAATGCGCGGCGGTGAGCAGCCATCTCTCGTCGATGATCGACGCCCCGCAGCCATGGCCCATCAGGCCTTCGGTCATGTTGCTGTAATAGAGGTAACGTATTTTTTAATGGAACAGAAAGCAACGTATTACAACAAAATAAAAATTATAACCTACATTTCTTGAATCGAAACCATAAACGGGTACTCGTCCACCGACTTTTCGGAGCCATGTGAGATGACTAGGTTGCGATCGATCTAAATGATGCTATTTGGGTGTTACGACGAACTATTAGAGCATGGTTTTGCTTATTTGAGTTTTTGATAATAATTGAGGCCAACCTCGTTCTTATACAGCCGCTTTTAGCTCGTTGGCTATACACTGGCACGTTTTAGCGCACGTTCGGGGTTGAATGTATACACCTATGGGCGCCTACTTCTCTTTTTAGACTTAAACCCTCCGCGTAATCCTACTATATATAAAAAATAGTGTTTGTGTGTGTGTGTGTGTGTGACACTTTGCATGCAACTTCCGTCAGGGTGTCCAGAGGATATCTCGATAGGGGATGAATTTTTAGGTATGTATGATACGTCATTAGGTGCGTAATGGCTCTGGGATGTCTGCACGCTTATCAGATTTATCAAATTGCCTTTTTCGACATTAAATTTAGCTTTTGTTAAAATTGTCGACCCTCTTTGTTAGGAAAAGATTAGCATGCGCCGGAAGTTCCGCTAGCCTATATCATGGGGCTGAGGCGCCTTTTCATTTTTTGTCATCGGAAATCCAAACATTATGCAAAGTTAAGTATATCGTGAGATCAGACGGGGCCAGGGTTGAAAAGCCGCTTCGCGACATTTCAACCCTGGTTAGGTGTATAATTAGCTATGCCTCCTGAACGTACGCGTAAAGGTATACCCAATTGGTGGAAAGGGCTGGCAGCAGTTTCAGATTTTTCACTATCAGTGGTCCCTACCGTATGCGGCTCCTCATCTCCTAGCTTGTAAACCAGCGCCTCGGCAATCTAAAGCATTCATGAGAATGCTGTCTGAAGGAGGATACCTGGACACTTGCCACCAAGCAGGCGGCGAATGCTAGAAGCCCTCTCATTTTCAGGGACGCCAGAAAGTAATATCTTTCTCCTGGGTGTGACAACTTATATGCCCCGAGTTCGGATATAAGGCAACGTCACGTGGAATTATTATTCATGAAAAAATCACTATTCTTACAATTTCTGGCGCGCTAGATTTTGGCTATATTGCTTTTTCGATGGGAGCCCCGGTATTGCTATTTTTACATGCACCTTGTATGCACACCAAATTTTTTGATGTGGGTTTCGTGCGGTAACGAGACAACACAAAAAAAAGATTTATTCGGTAATGCAAATCTTCTTGTCGATGGTCTTCTCGATCCAATCGCAATGGCGAGAGACAACCGGCCCGATGGCTAAAACCCAATGAAATTAACAAATTCCGAGCGGCTTATATCAATATATCAGGCTTTGGTGAACTATGAAACCAACTGTCATCGTCCTTGGATCCGCATAGGCCGGTTCCCTCGCTCACCAAGCTAGCTTGCACAAATTTGTTGATGCGGCGATTGCAGTACACGAGTGGGCTGCCTGAATCCCCCTGAAAAACATGACATGCCCCAATTGGAAGTCGCCACCCTAGTCGCCTGCCAGATTACTTACGTCGCAAGTCCCACGGGCCTTGTTTCCGCCATCAAAGCATAGTTTAGAAGATGAGCTGCAGCTCGGTACAAATTTCCCGGTAAAGCCCAAAAGGCTTTCAGAGGTGAAAGGACCTAAAATCAGGTATTCTTGTGTCAACGCGGCCATAAGGTTGAATTTGTCTAGGGCTTCTTCGCATTACACACCTCCTGCTTTTGTTAAGCCCCACCCAAGAATGACGATGTTTGTGTCATTTGCAATTTCCAATTTTCTGGTTAGCACCAGCGGTTGTACACGTAGACCATACTGAATAGGCTTTGCCAACTGCAAACGGATTGGTCTGTTTCCGTAAGGGGAAGTGGTATACCTTAATCAACGCAACGTCGTCTTGAGGAAAACCGTCTTCGTCTATGTAGTCTGGGTGGGTATGCTTCTCTTCGAAGGCGAAGGTCTGCTAAAAGGCTAGACATGAGCATGATGCATATCAAGTAAAAAACTTCAAAACAAACATGATCTGAAGAATAGCTACAAGAATGCAGACTGGCGGTGTATTTTCCCAAACCTTCAGTTAAAAATGCAAATGAGATACCGCGTTTTTGTCGGGATGTGCGCCTGTGTGGGTAGAACCAGCTACCGCGCCGTTCACGCCTAAGCTTCGTCTAAGATCCAAGCAAGGGTTAACCGAACGCAAACTCACAGGCAATGGCCGGCGGTCAGTAGCCATCTCTGGTCGATGATCGAAGCCCCGCACTGGTGCTCAAATTTCTTCGTGACGCTGTCGCTGCAAGTGTGTCCATAGTATCGTTACCCAGTATACCATGGATACCACGGAAACCATCATTTAGTACCTTACCATCCAGAAAAGCTATTCAAATGCTTACAGGTGTCCAATGGAAACGATGAACGGGTAGTCTTCCACTGATATCTCAACCCCGCCGACGATACCGCTCTAAAGTGATTTTGCGCTTAGCCTAAGGTTTAGGGTTTGTGCCTGAAAATTAAAAAAATTGTTGCATTTGCTCTGGAACTACACTGCTCGGCACCAAAAAGTTCTCCTCGGCATTTACTCCTTCAAACAAATTCATGTTGGATACTTATCAAATAGCAGAATAAACAAACCGCGGGCGGGAGGCCATCTGCTTCCACGATTCGATCCCTGCAACCCGTCGCCGCTTGCGCCTAGGTGAAACTCTATAGCTATTGCGCGAACCACTTGCCAGAAAGCCGACCGTCAACCAGAGGAACGAACGCATTTCTGAGGAATGATCTCTAGCCTGATCTGGTGGTATTTATACTTTCTCGTGTCTATTAGTCTGAAGATTTTGGTTCCCCCGCATTTCTATGACCTTTTGAATTAGTCGAATGTCAAGTGAACGCGGCACGTGAATCAGTTCTTCGATAAAATAGTCTCGAAAACTCTTTCGAGACCGGGAAAATGATTTTTAAAAGGCTGAGCAAGGCCTGGATACATCTATAGATTCGAGCAGGCGACCGGTCGAAAGCGGCGTCTTACTCATTTGGTAAGGAAAGGGTTATAGCTTATAACTCTGGACTGCAGTATAGCGAGTGTGCGAGATAGACTCGCTGTCAACCCCTACTTCACATCTTTATTCTCATTGAAGTCAGCCCATTTGCGGTTTCAGGTGTTCGTAAGGGTAATCGTTGCAAAAATTGGTCTGCGTCACCTCGAAGATCCAGTCGCAGTAAGGAACCACTTTCGTTTCCATAGCTAAAATTTGGCGATTCTGATGTTCGAAGTCGGTTGTGAGTCACAGGGGTTCAATTGCATACTGTAGTTCCAGTATTGAAGATATTCGCAGCCGCCGACCGTGCTCTGAACGATGCCAAGTTGGATCCACTGATCTACCCCTGGTATCATTTCCGTCAAAGCCATTACAGGGCCGCCGGAGTCACCCTAGAAAATTATTATCCGAACGAAAGGAGGGAGAGAGAGAAAGGGAGGGAGGAGAGAGAGAAAAAAGAGAAAAAGATAGACAGAGAGAGAGACAGAGTAAAATACAGAGAGAAAAAGAGATCGTGTGTGAGCGTGAAAGAAAGAGATAGAAAGGGCGAGGGTAAGATCCACGTACCGCACACTGACCAAAGTTCTTCCCCGCAACCAGGCAGAACATCCCGGGCTGATAATGCATTGCACAAAAGTCCTGGTGTAAGATCTTCGTGGTGTATTTCCGAAGCGTAGGTTCATATCCGGCTAGAAATTGTTTGAAAGTAGGGTTGAAAGGAGCATCAACCGCACCTCCATCGGCCATCTCACCCCATCCGACCACCTCGATGCGCTTCGCCCAGAGCGGCGAGTTTCGCCACAAAATCGCATTTGAGATGCGACGAGTTTGACGAAGTGGTGTGTCCACCTTAAGGTTATTCAACGTTTTTTACTGTCTTTATACAATATACTTGTAGAAGGGCAATATCGAATCGTCCGAGCTCTCCTTCAGGTCCGTAATTTGGATTGACAACGGCGCGCGCGATTCGTTTGCCCTGCTGCAAAGGAGTTACAGAGAGGGAGGGCGAAGAGAGACCAAGAGAGCGAGAGAGAGAGAGAGAGAGAGAGAGAGAGAGAGAGAGAGAGAGTGAGAGAGTAAGAGTAAGAGTAAGAACAAGAGTACCGCCTGTGTATCTGGAGATCCTATTTCACTGATATGGCTCGTCCCGGCAATCACTTGCCATTGCCGCAAGTCGCTCCTAGACGGTTTTTATTATTTTTCTATGAGGCCTTGGATGCACTTACACCTGAAACCTATTACCCTCGACCGTAACGCAATGTGCGGCCGTTAGGATCCAGCTTGCTCCTAGGATCGTTCCGCCGCAGACGTGTTCAAATAAACTGCAAATTATCTTTCTCTCTCTCACACACGCTATCTCTCCCTTTCTCGCTCTTTCTCGCCCTCTCTCCTTTCTAGCTCTCTCTCTCTTTCTATGTTTCTAGCGCCTTTTTCGTGAAGACTCACTCGCTATCCAGCAACGGTCTCTGAATTGATACCATGAAACGGTAGTTATGGACATCCTTGACAATCTCACTGCCCGCGGATTTCATGCCCCTCTAGGTATGATCGGGCTCGAAAAAATAACGAAACATACATGTAAGCCACTGGAATTTAGAGGTTTGGTTTTGTCTAGGATTTTGATGCCCTAAATCGTTCTGTTACGTTAACCATGTTGAATTACCTGGATCGAACGGAAGATTACGACCAGAACGGTCAGAAAAAGTATAGATAACTTTCTGGTTGGCATCGAATCGACAGAATTCAGACCGTTGAGGAAAAAATGGACAATTTGATGTGCAGACAAGCGCGGTATATGCGCTTTATTGCATAAATTACAGCCCGGGAGACAAAAAGTTCGTATTCGCAGGATTTTTTTGGCAAAAATAGTTTCTAAACTCATGATTCCCAGTGTAGCTAGTTTGGGTTTGCGACCAAAATCCTAGAAAAGCGAACCCCAATTTAATCAAAGCAATTCGTTATCATCAGTCATCAAAACGGTTTGGGTATGATTTTCGTGGTGCATGAAGTTGGCGTCGACACGGATGAAGTCGGGCATCGTTTGGATCGTGGAGTTGGCTGAATTAAGAAAAGGGAAATTGGCCGCTAGGCTGTGTATAAATGGCCGTAGGGTATCAAAATTCACGTGATAGAGCCAAAGCTGCTTCTTTGAAGATGGGAATCGGGAATCCCTGTCGGAAGAGGCCGTCGAGGACGAGCTCAATGACTCCGAGGAAGAGCTTTTTGAAGGATTCTTTTTGTCTAAAAACGGTATCGAAAATTTAGTGATCCAAAAATCCGGAAAGAGAGAAAGAGCGATCGAGAGAGAGAAGGGAGACGGGGGGGAGAGCGATAGAGAGGAATCTCAAGAAAACCTACTCCGGCAGCAGATCCCCAATTATCGAATGAGTTTGGTTAAATTCAGCCATTGTTCCAGTAATATAGCCACTTAGTAGTGTGCCATTTAGAAGAATTACCATCTTGGACTCGGTTTGAACATCTTAGAAAAACCGTTGCGATATTTTCCATTTTTCAAACTTCCCTAGCGTAGCCAAAATTTCCCTTGTTTCGGCCATTGGGTGGATGTAAATATCAACTGCTAGCGAGCCTTGAACTTTTCCAAATCCTTTATTGAGTTTGAGCTTAAAGAATAGGTAAAAAGCCATTTTTTTAAAATATGGAAGGTAGCAAAGTCCAGTATCACAAATTGAAGCAAACTTTACGATACCTTTGGTGCACCCTTAGCCCTGATATGCAGGTCGACATACTGTTTAGGATATTTCTGCGCAATCTCAGGCCAGAAGGTGGCCATGCAGACAGCGTTTCGGCCTCGGAATGGGCAGCTAAACAAATTACAAAGCAAAAAAATCGATACCTACGTCGTCCTCAGATAAGTAGTCGCTTCCGGGATATCCTTCGTCAGTAGGAATTGAATGATTCCGCCCTTGGCCGCGCTGTAGCTTATGCAGTTTCCGACTGTTTCGGATATCCAGACGTTTCCCATTGAGGAGATGGCGGGCCCTAAATGTCCTTGAGATGACTCATTATTCGTGGATGTAGCTAATCCTCAGTTTAATTTGCTAAATAATTCTTCAAACGAATGAAACAAATGAAAAAATTACCATCTTTTCGAGGCGCTGGCTCGTAGGGGCAGGTGTCGTGGCCGTGCAAGACGTTGGCTGAGAGTTGTGCTTCGAAGAAATCGCTGGAAATGGCCCAAAATGTATGTCTCTCCTCTCGCTTTATCACTCGCTCTATCCTTAGCTCCCTCTCTCTCTTTCTCTGCCTCTCGCTCTCTCTCGCCATCTCTCTCTCCCTCTCCATCTTGCTCACTCTCGTTCTTACTTGCTGTGCACCATGTTTGTCATGTTGTAGACCAGCGCAAAATCCGATCCCAACTGAAACTCGAGTGGGATCGTTGCCAGCCGCCTGTTCACTTCATTTACACCCATTTGGAGTATGTTGCAAATCTGAGGAGGTCGAGCTTCATTTAAAATAATTCACAAACCGATTTATCAATCATTCGCCTTACTGTACCTTCGACCCAGTCGCGTATAAGCGCGTAGACCCATTTTATACTTGACTGGACGCTGTAGTAAGCATAAATAGGGGTAGAAGAAGAAGCTTACCGGATGCTTACTTCCCCAATCGTCGCTTGACAATTTTCGTACTCAACTTGAGGTATTCCGCCTTTTGCCACAATTCGAACCAGTCCGGTGCCACGACCCTTTTTCGTCCACACGTCGATGTCGCCGGTGAAAGTGTACTGTAATATCCGTGTTTTAAGTATTCTCACGTACGCGAGATCCTTTAATTAATGCAGAGCGTTGGCTATAGACTTATCCCGTCTTTTTTTCATCTCACCTTCATAAACCATACCCATCTATGATAGCTACCATGGCCTGAGGCGGACACCCCAAGCCCCGACATCCCAAGCACAATGCCGTCCTCGGTGAAATTGTGAGTGAGCCTGAACATTAAGTTTGTTCTGACCCTTTTGTTGCGTTAGAGGCCATTGAGTTGGAGGTTTAAGGTTAAGTGACCAACTCTGGCAACACAACTCCGGTCATCCGTATACCTTCCAACGTCCAATGGCGTCCGCTTTGCGTCGGGATCTTCAGCCCCATCACGTAGTCTTTTACCTAAAAATTTTGATAAAGAGTTCCTGACAAACTAGCGACCCTTGACTTTGACTATAGGTCTCCTTAGCTATACGTCAGCAAGACTTTCAGCGATTTTTGTTTGATCGAATAAGCTTTAAGGCTCTTACTGATTTTGACAAGAGAGGGTCAGTGAGAGGGAGCGAGAGAAAGAGAGAAAAATAGAGCGAAAGATTGAGAGAGAGAGAAAGAGAGAGACAGAGTAAAGGCATGATAGGAAGAAAGAGCCAGACCACAAGCCAGCCTTCTATTTTCCAAAAACACCCTCGGAAAACTTCCATGTGCAACACCGTCTCCTTCAAAAAGTCCCATCCCGGGCTGTTGAGACGGAAGATGACCGACGGATTCGTGGTGTTAATTCCCGATACAGCAACCAGCAAAATAAACAAGTATAACCCCATTTTTCGTAGACAGCAAAACTGATCAAGCTTCGGCGCTTTTGCAAGGGCAAGCTTTATATGCCGTGCCCGAAAAACGTGATAACTAATGCGATGGCCTACGCCCCCATTATCGGCAATTCTGCAAGCTGGCCCAAGTATCGTAAATACAGGAAATTTTTGGCGCAAGAAAATTTTCATGTGAGTCAGCATTCGTGCTTAAGAAGATTAAAAATTATGTCATATTTTAGCAATTAATCAAAAATCATTTTTATACTTGATTTCTGATGCTAAAACATCAGGCTTCAAAGTTGCTCTGTAGCTTTAGGTCGGCTGCCTCCGCTCGAAACCACGATTTTTCCGACTTTTTCGTTTTCGACGATCTATGAGTTGAATACTTGAATAATGTTCGATTTCAGCGATATAAAATCTGATTTGTTTTCTTATTTTATGCTTATCGATATTTTTATCAATAATTAAACACATATTTCTTTCCCCATCACCTTCTCGAACCAATCGCAGTAGTTGGTGAGGTCCGGGCCCTTTGCTAAAAATCGGCTTCAAGGGATGGAGACAATAGAGAAAAACTTACTCGATAAAACCCACTCATGGTAGTTTCTGGTCGGCAATCAGGTCCGGTACTCGCGCTCACCAACGTCACCTGGACGTAGTTTTGAAGTGGAATGTCGTAGTATGCGATCGGGCTGCCGGAGTCGCCCTAAAATCACGCATTATTGACAGTCGATCGATTAGAGGACCAGCTTTGTTGAAACGTCTCGAAAAATTAAGAAATTAGGTTTTAAAGGCGTGATGACATAAAACTGGCGGTAAAAAACAAAGCCCAAAAAATGCCTATAATTTTGATTTCCAGAACTAGATTCACCTTTCTTGGACTAGGGGCTGGTGACACCCGTTTTTCTCCACCAAAATGCAGAAGAAGTAGAGAGAACCCGTGTTGTCACGCTCCCTTTAAATAACGTAACTCGACACTTACTACACAATGTCCCTGCTTATCCGTCTCCCCGTCAAAGCAAATTTCATAGGTATTTTCGGATTCTGGACATTTCGGACCCGTCACTAGTTTTCCCGTGTAGCCGAGCAACAATATTGGGCGAAGGTGTCGATCGGGTTTGGCTAAAATTGATGTCAGAGAAAGAGAGAGTGAGAGAGAGAGTGAGAGAGCACCAACCGTCCGGCTCATAAGCGCCCCACCCAGCGCTTTTCATCTCGGCCCCATCTTCAAGCAGCAAATTCTTCCTTAAAGATATTTTCCGCACACTCCCGCTTAGGTTGAGCGGACGGGTCAGCTAAATTTGATCTAGATTCGACATTTGCCTAGAAAACCTTGAGCAGCGCCAGATCATGAAGCAAAATTTCGTCATTCGTCTCAACGTATCCGGGGTTGACGAATACCTCGGATATGTAGCCTTTTTGCTAAAATCTGTCCTGGATTCTTATTAATTGTGTAATGAGCTAGGGTTAGCTGGCGCCATCCCTTAAAGATGAGGTAAACAAAAGCAGCTTGTAAACCTAAATTCGTACCGCTTGTGAAGTATGGCTGCGGTCAGATCCATTTGTTCCGACGGCGATGAACAGGTTTTCGATTCTATGAAATGATTAGCGGTAAAACTCTGTATATCAAAATTACTGGCCTCCGATATTTTCAGTATTTTCCGGGCGGGGCCCGGGGCCCGGCCGCCCCCGTCCCGCCCCAGGGGCCCCCGGGGGGGGCGGGGCCCCGCGCCGGGCCCCCCCCCCCCCCCGCGGGGGCGCCGCCCGCCGCCTGAGATAGGGGGAAAAGGAAAAGGGAGAGAAGGGGGGCGGGAGGCAAAAACCCCAAAAAAAAAAAAAAAAAAAAAAAAAAAAAAAAAAAAAAAAAAAAAAAAATTATTTTTTTATATTAAATAATAAAAAAAAATAAAATTATACCACCAACTAAAAATATAATAAGAAAATTATTTAATATTACTATAAATAGTTTTTTTTTTTAATAATTTAAATAAAAAAATTTTATTTTTTTAAAATTTTTTCTTAAATCAAAAATAAAAAAAACTACATATAAAAATATATTTTAATAATAATATATAAAATTTTTTACATATATATAATCATTCTCCTCCCTCTTCGGGCCCGGGGGGAGCGGCGGCCCCCGCCGGAAGGTACCGGGGGGGGGGGGCGGGAGCGCCCCCCGGGCTGTTTTTTCCCCTCCGGGGGGGGGGGGGGGGGTGTTTTTGTATTTATTAATTTACCCCGCCCCGGCGCGGGGGCCGCCGGGAGAAATTTTTTAATTTTGTATTTTCGATAAATTTAAACGCCCTACTTTTCTCCCTCCATACAATGCGCTGCGGTCAGAATCCATTCCTCATCAATGATAGAGGCCCCGCAGAAGTGTTTGCTAAATCAGGACTTGCCTATCTCTCTGTCTCCCTCTCTCACTCTCTCGATGTCTCTCTCCCGCGCGTGCTCTCTCTCTCTCTTGCTCTCTCTCACCAACAACATACTAGGATTGCAGCGTCCCTAGAAAAGGGAATTCTTCGATCGGTTGTTGGGTGCCTCCAACGACCTTGCTCTAGTATGTATTATATCAAGGCATGAATTAAATGGAATGCCACACCACTGGGCCAACCACACTCAAGTTCGGGTGATCATCAGTGCCGCCAACAACAACATGTAACTGCAAGAGGTAGGGATCAAAAAATTCATTATTCTTACCAGACAGAACAATGCGGTCCATAGAACTGCCAGCATTTTGGTGGGAACAAAAAGAAGGCGAAAGGGAAAAATGTCCTTTTATAGCGCCCCATAAATGTCATAAAAAGATCATATTGCAAAAAGAGAGGCGATTCAATATATAATACGATATGGCTAGACGTCTTCTCTCTGTCCCCCTGTCTCTTTCTTTCTCTCTCTTTCTCTCTCTCTCTCTCTCTCTCTCTCTCTCGCTCTCCTCTCCATGTTTTGCTCCATTTTGCGTAACATATTCTTTATTGAAAATCCACATCACTCAATGGTACCATGGTCATAGCAAAAATTTGTCCCGGTCGTCCTGGCTATCCATCTACAGTACCAGGAGACACGCTGTGCATAACCTAAAAACAGAAAACAATTGAGGTCCCTAAAGCGAAAAGACTCCAAGGCGTGGTGATGAAATCACAGGTTCCCTCGGGCATTCCGGTGGTAATGCCAATTTGAATGTGCTCCCATTGACCAGGGAACAGCTGCATCCTTGTAAAAACCGGGCCTCCAGAATCGCCCTAAAGGTAGACGTAACGTAACGGGCTTGCATAAACCGGGCTTTTAGGAAAGTATTTTGTATGTGTGATTTAGGCATATCTGCCTGCCCCTAAAAATGTCTAGATCTCTCTATAGGTATGTGTTTTTATTAAAAGTAAGCACGATCCAAAATCCGACCTTGCAAGGCCCAACTCTTCCTTTCCCGGCGACGCAGAGCATCTTCTCCTCTACCTCAAAGCATGGCTCGTAGAGTGTGGTGGTGTAGCCCCGCAAAACATCTGTGGTTGGTCCTGAAGAGCGTCATTAAATTGATAATAATAATAATACCGTACCTCCAGGATACAGGTTACCCCAACCGATGATTTCCACTTGCCGCACGTTTTCCATTGGTAGGGTCTTCCAAAGATAGATTCTGGAGATTCCATTCGGCTTGAGGGGTCGCATTAACTAAAAAGGACGGGAGAAGCGCGAGAGAGAGAGAGAGAGAGAAAGAGAGAGAAGGGGGGGGGGGGGGGGAAAAGGAAAGGGACCGGTTGAGACATCGAAGGCTACTACACACACATACCTTTAACAACCCAACATCATTGACACGATTCCCATACCTCCCATACGTCCAATCAGGGCTCACGTAAGCGGCCTGGATTTTAATTTTTTGCTAAAGCTTGTTAAGGTTAGTTTTAGTCCACATTTATACGGCTCCGGGTTCCGATGATCCCGTTGGCCCAAGTCTACCCGTGCCCGCAACAACGATCCAGTCGGTCAAATCCTCGCTGAAAATCACCAAAAAATTGTGGCCTGTTTACGTGACACAACACCATACATTACAATGCTAGAGCCATACTTACAATTGGGTATTGTCGTACTTGACAGTAAGACAGTGAGCAGCTGTTAGTATCCAGCTCCAACCAATGATTGTACCACCACAATGGTGCCGATAGGTTCCTCTCCTAAACACGTAAGCCAAACTTAAGTCTAAGCTAAGTCAAAACCAAAAATCAAGCCAAACCTAAGCCTATGTTTAGGCTTAGGCCTACGGCTAGGTCTAGCCAAGACAAGCTAAACCTTCTTTATACCTATTCATGTTAGGTTTCTGAATCGATACTATGAACCGATAGTTGTCGAATTCGCGCAGCTCCCCATCAATTATCTTAACGTTTTCCTAAATTCTTGGATTTCAGGGACTCGATATCCAGCCTACTTCCTGCCCAGAATTTGCCTTGCTTGGTATTTCAACCGCTTCAAAAGGATGAGAATCATTAGGCTTGAAGATGGCGTCCAGCTGGATCGATTCCGAAATCCCGAAAAGCGCGCTTAGTACCGTTGGAAGGGAAGCATGCATCAAAACGATCGGTCTGGTTCTCATTTCATGCCGATCGCGAGGCCGGAATTTTGAATAAGCTCTATTTTTATCTTTGTTTTAGTCACGTGAAGCGGAAATGTCTTTAATCGCTTCTCTATCACTTTCTCTCACCCTCTGTCGCAATCTCTCGGTCATTCTCTCTCTCAATCTTTCGTTCTCTCTCTAACCCCTCTCAGGGATCGTTAATGTATTTAATTTGCATAATTCTGTCAAGTCGAGTTATCATTTATTAAAACTCAGCATCCCTTAATGATACTCATGATCGTAGCAAAATTCGTCCGAGTCGTCCGGGCTATCCATCTACAGTACCAAGAGACCCGCTGTGCATAACCTGAAAAATAGGCTTGTGATCCCTTTGAACCTCAATTTTGCTTTTAAAATTTATTTCCCCCCCCCCTCCCCCCTTTTTTCTCCCAAAAAAATAAATTAAAAAAAATCTAAAAAAAAAAAAAAAAAAAAAAAAAAAAAAAAAAAAACCCCAATTTATTAAAAAATAAAAAAAAAAAAAAAAACGCAAAAAAAAAAATTTAAAAAAAAAAAATATATAAAAAAAAAAAAAAAAAAAAAAAAAAAAAAAAAAAAAAAAAATCATTAAAAAAAAAACAATTAAAAAAAAAAAAAAAAAAAAACCCAAAAAAAAAAAAATTTATTTAAAAAAAAAAAAAAAACCCCCCCCCTTTTTTTTTTTCCTCCCTTCCGCTTTTTGCCGCCGCGCCCGCCCCCCCCCCCCTCCAGGGCTGTTTGTAATACACCTAAAATATTTTTGAATGAGCCTGTGATTGAAAAACCTACTCCAAGGCGTCGTGATGAAGTCACAGGTTCCACCGGGCATTCCAGAGATAATGCCAAGTTGGATGTACTCCCATTGGCCGGGGAGTTGCATTTTTGTGAAAACCGGACCGCCAGAATCACCCTGAATCGAGAATTCCCTCCTCACTCTTATGCCGACATTTTCGATAAACCTTTTAGGTTTTGATAGACTTCTTTAAGTTTTTCTGCTTAAAATTCACCTGGCAAGGCCCAGCTCGCCCGTTCCCCGCGACGCAGAACACCTTCTCCTCCACTTCATAGCACGGTTCATACAGCGTCGTGGCATAACCCCGTAGGAATTTGGTGGTTTGCTCTATGGCAGTCGAAAAATTATTGCCAATATCAATTACCCGCAGGCTGTAAGCTGCCCCAACCGGAGCATTTCCACTGTCCCAACGTTCTCCATTGGTACGGTTTTCCAAAGGTAAATTTTCGAAACCCGCCGAGGATTGAGGGGTCTTGTTAACTAAAGATTGCAGTATTGGGGAGAGAGAGAGAGAGAGAGAGAGAGAGAGAGAGGAGAGAGGAGGAGAGAAAAGGGGAGAGCTACAGCTTATACCTTTAAAAGTGCGACATCGTTCACACGACCAAACTTTCCATAAGTCCAGTCTGGGTTAACGTAGGCCGATTGGATCATCATTTTTTGCTAAAAATTGGTTGCTCCACTCCTATTCCTACAACTATAATTATTGAAAATCTGTTTTTCAAAAACAAATTACTTTTTTTAAATTCCCTACCGCCCAAGGTTCCGGCGATCCAGACGGGCCAAGCCTGGACGTACCCGCAACTACGATCCAGTCTGTTAAATCCTGACTAAAAACGTTGAAAAATCCTTTTTTTGCGTCAGCCTTACATTTTGGTGTTGTCGAATTTAACTGTGATGCAGTGAGCAGCTGTTAGTATCCAGCTATAGCCGAGGATTGAGCCACCGCAATGATGGCGAAATGTTCCTTTTCTAAAGAGTAAGCTTAAGCCCAAGCCTAAGAATAAGCCTAACCCGAAGCCTTAGTCAAGCTCAAGCATAAACCTAAGCCTAAGTCTCGCAACAACTAGCGGTAGCGAAAAAGGTTATTCCTACCGGAAGACCAGAAAGTTCCCCGTTTCCCCACCCCCCCCCCCGGAAGCCCGAGACATCCGATCCCACTCTCTTCTCCATCCTCCCTGCCCACGCCGGGCGCTGTACGACCCGACCCGCTGAACGCCTTGAGACCCACGGCCCCCGCAACAGCCATGGGCAACTGTCGGGCGAACGCTCTGGAATGCCGGCTCGCGACCCGTTCTGCGCCCTATATAAGAGGAGAGGGATCGACACTAACTCTACTTCACCTCCGACCGATTCAGAATTACCGTTTTCCGTATTTGGTGCTATAAAATAGTTCAGTATTCTTAAAGTGCATATATATATTCTCGCGACTATCGAGCGAAAAGGAGCTGTCCTTCCGGTCAGCTCCTGGTAATGTGAGTAAGAGAGAGGGAGAAAGGACTAGTAAAGAACTATGATACAAACAGAAAGACCTGCGAAGGTCCTTTCCCGAAACGGAGGTCCTCAAGACCAACCGGTTTCGACACAATCCTCTCTGGCCGTCTCTCTAACACATCATACTCCAAATGGCAACAACATTGCTCATGGTTGCCCAACATCGTGCCAACCGACTCTATATAAGTCCACCGCTGAACAGGGGACTTCACTTCAACCAACAGCCACCGCTTCCAACAGCGAGGCATTACCTTGGACCTCATCTTTACCTTGAATTATATTATTATATTATACTTCGTCACTTATTTACGACAATAAACACTTAACGTTATTTGACCACTGAAATAACCGTTAAATATATTCTTATACTACAACTACATATAAACTGTGCCGACTCATATTCTACCGCAAGTAAGTTTATAAAAATGCATAAATATTCATATCCTACAAATATATATAAAAACTGCGCCGACTCATATTCTACCACAAGTAAGTCTATAAACCAAGCCTAAGCCTAAGCCTGAGCCCCAGGAAAATCCTAAGCCTAAGCCCAAGCCTAAGCCTAGACCGAAGCCATGCTTATTGTTATGTAGACATACACATTTATGCTGGGCTTCTGAATCGATACCATGAAACGGTAGTTCTCGATGTCACGCAGCTCGCCATCGATTATTTTGAAGTTCTCCTAATAAATCTTTCCGTGCTGGAAGACAGCTTAATACCGATCCAAAACTCGCGTTTCCTGACTTGTCAAGGTGTTCAAGGCTTTGTGAAGCATTAGGATGAAGGCTGGCACCCAGGATCGATCCCGGAGACCCAAAAAGTACGCATAGAACTGCCGGGAAGGAAGCTCTCATCCAAACAATC